AGGTGAGATTTATATAACTAAAGTTAACCATGTTAAAATTCACAATTCACAATGCTATACAACCATCACCTCTGTTTAGTTCCAAAACATTTCCATCAAAAAGGAATACTCAGTGGCAATTCCTCCCTCCTCCCAAACTTGACAACCACTGGTCTTTCTGTCCTTGTGGATTTGCCTGTTCTGGACATTTCATATCAATGCAAGCATACAATATGTGACCTTTTGTGTCTGGCTTCTCTCACTCAGCATCATGTTTTTTGAGATGCATCCTTATAGTAGCATGTATCAGAACCTCTTTCCTTTTTATTGCTGAGTAATAGTCCATTGTATGGATGTGTTCAAATGGAAAAAAAGGCCTTTCTTTTTCTTTGCTGTAGCCTTCCACAATTTATGAGAAGCACCTGGTAATTAAACCCCAAGATGGTTAGCTCCTCTGGTTGAAACAGGCCCTCTTCAAACTGCAAGACAAAATAAGTTACTGTCAAGGCTACATTCTTCCAATACCTCCTCCCTGCTGGTTTACAACCCAGGCATAATTAGTAGAAAGTTCCCTTCCCTGCTCCTCTTCAAACAAGCCACTTTTGAACTCTTCATAACTTTTCTCTAAGAATGTTTACAAGCTTTAGAAAAATACTGATAAGACACCTGCCTAGGATATCAACCTAGATTGTCTCCTGAAGAACTAACACACTTTTTAAGGACAGCTCCACTGATGTCTGCTCAACTCCAGCCTAAAAATACCCCTCCCTTCCTTGTCACCTAGCAATAGCAGGAAGGCTTTAAAGACTGAAGAAGTTTTCTGTTCTTTGTCTTTTGTATTACTTAGCAATACACTGGCCCTTTCCCTTCAGGGAAAGTAAAATAAAGTCTCTTATCTATCTATCTATCTATCTATCTATCTATCTATCTATCTATCTATCTATCTCCTCTCAGTCGTGAATTCTTTCACAGCCCACATCACTAGTCCAAAACTCTAACAGGATGGAACATTTTATTTCATCTGGTGATGGACATTTGGGTTGTTTCTGCTTTTTGGTTGTTTTGAATACTTCTGCTCTGAATGTGTGCGCCAGCAATGCACATGTAATATTTAAAATAGTTCATTTTATTTTATATGAAATATATATATATATATATATATATATATATATATATATATATATATATATATATTTAAAGAGCCCTGGTCAGGTGGCTTGGTTGGTTGGAGCATTATCCCATGCATCAAAAACTTGTGGGTTTGATTCCCGGTCAGGGCACATACCTGGGTTTCGGGTTCTATCCCCAGTCGGGGCACATGCAGGAGGCAACCAATCGATACTTCTCACATCCATGTTTCTCTCTCTCTCTTCCTTCCTCTCTCTAAAATCAATAAACATATCCTTGGGTGAGGATTTTTTTAAAAATGCTATCCGCTGAGAGGGCTTAGAAGCAATGCCCCCATCCCCAGCAGCAATGAGCACACCCATCACCCAGACCTTGGTTTCCCAATGCCCTTCTGCAGAAAAGGGAACCCAGGCTCCTTGGTTGATTCTAGAACTGGGGTGGCGAAAACACAAGATGATTCTGGAATATTTTGTGGTGTAGAAAGTAAGAAACAAAACAAACAAACAACTGAGTCGTCTCAAAAGAATAGTGCCCGAAATAAAATGCTTACAGCAGGGCCAACTGAAAGAGCTCCCAGTAGGCAAAGCTGGAACAATTTGTGCAACAAAATAAATAACAATAGCATAGATTATAACTCAAAGACTAAAATAACTGTTCAAAGTCCTAGCTGTTTTGGCTCAGTGGGTAGATCGTTGGCCTGTGGACTGAATGGTCCCAGGTTTGATTCCAGTCAAGGGCACATGCCCTGGTTGCAGTCTTGATCCCTGGTAGGGGCGTTCAGGAGGCAGCCAATCAATGATTCTCTTTCATCATTGATGTTTCTATCTCTCTCTCCCTCTCCCTTCCTCTCTGAAACCAATAAAATAACCGTTAATGAATCCATATGGGTATAAAGAAACAATTGAATAAACAAATCAATGGAGACAGAACAACTCTTCCTTACAGAAGAATTTCAAATTTATAATAATAAAAGGGTAATATGCTAATTAGACCAGATAGCCGAATGACCTTCTGGATGTCATTCTGTATGTCCTTCGAATGAAGCCACAGCAGCTTGGGCCGAGGCAGAGGTAGTTAGGGATGATCAGACAGGAAGGTGAGCAGTTAGGGGTGATCAGGCAGGCAGGCAAGTGGTAGGGGCGATCAGGCAGGCAGGCAAGTGGTAGGGGTGATCAGGAAGGCAGGCAGAGTGGTTAGGGGATCCCTGAGGATTGGGCCTAAACCAGCAGTTGGACATCCCCTGAGCAGTCCCAGAATCTGAGAGGGTGCAGGCCAGGCTGAGGGACCTCCACCCCCCCCCACCCCCCCCACCCCCCGCTGCCTGTGCACGAATTTCATGCACTGGGCTGCTAGTAATACATAATAGTAAATGTAGAAGGAATGAGATAAATGAAAAATTACTATGAAGCAAACATCACAGTAATAATTTCCATACACACACTGTCCACCAATGAAGAGAAAAGCAATGGGTAAACTTTAATGGGAAATAGGGTCTCTGCAGGGCCTCAACGTATCTCAGCCAAAGGATTTATCCATTTTTGGTATTTTTATGATAGTTTTAACATAGGCCCACCAATTCCTCCATACTGCTCCTCCCGTTGCCCTGTTCTGGGTGGAAGCTGAGAATGTTTTGTTTCTGGACTTGAGTGGTGCTTACAGAAATGTGTTCCATTTGTGAAAATTCTTCCAAGTGTCCACTTATAATATGTGCACTTTTCTGTATGTGCAATGAAAAGTTAAATTTACTCAAGTGCAAAAAGAAAAAAAAAGGAAAGGAGAGAGACAGACTCGGCTATCTTTGGAGAGGCACCTGTTGGTGTTAAAACTGAATGAAAGCCCTAACCGGTTTGGCTCAGTGGATAGAGTGTTGGCCTGCAGAATGAAGGGTCCCAGGTTCGATTCGGGTCAAGGGCGTGTAACTTGGTTGCGGGCACATCCCCAGTAGGGGGTGTGCAGAAGGCAGCTGATTTATGTTTCTCTCTCATCGATGTTTCTAACTCTCTAACCCTCTCCCTTCCTCTCTGTAAAAAATCAATAAAGTCAGTATGGCAGTGAGCTCTGAGGGAAGCAAGGGATTGTGAACAAGGAGGATGTGGGGTGAGAGGTACACATCTGTGATGCGGGCACATCCTATTTCCTGATCTGAGTGACGATGCCATTGTTTAACCTGCACATGTCTGAGCTGTGTCTGTCAGTGGTATCCTGGGGCCAGCTGCACTGATTTGTGAGGACGGATTTCCACTTTCTAGGAACTGGGGGGCATCACAGTGACATCACATTGGTAGCTTGAAATTGGCCAGAAACAGACAACTGCTACAAACAATTTTTGTTTTGGAGAGCCCATTGTTAAACATTTCCCAGCACATCACAGCTCCTCTGCGTATATGGTATTAATTAACATTTTAATTACTATTGTTCACTGTTTTTAATTATGAAAAATATATATAGAATATCAATTTTACCATCTCAACCATTTTTCTGTGCTCAGTTCAGTGTCATTAATATTATTCACATTATTGTGCAACCATCACCACCATCCTTCTCCAGAACTGTTTTCATCGTGCAAAACTGAAAGTCTATTCCCACATATATTTTTTTAATCCTTAAAAATGCTCCCTTGGCCCTGGCCGGTGTTGCTCAGTGGACAGAGCTTTGGCCTGCGGACTGAAGAGTCCTGGGTTCCATTCCAGTCAAGAGCACATACCTGGGTTGTGGGCTTGATCCTCAGTAGGAGGCGTGCAGGAGGCAGCCAATCAATGGTTCTCTCTCATCACTGATGTTTCTATCTCTCTCTCCCTTTCCCTTCCTCTCTGAAATCAATTTAAAAAATATTTTTTAAAAAATATTCCCTTGGCCGAAACCGGTTTGGCTCAGTGGATAGAGCGTCGGCCTGCAGACTGAAAGGTCCCAGGTTCGATTCCGGTCAAGGGCATGTACCTGGGTTGCGGGCACATCCCCAGTAGGAGATGTGCAGGAGGCAGCTGATCGATGTTTCTCTCTCATCGATGTTTCTAACTCTCTATCTCTCTCCCTTCCTCTCTGTAAAAAATCAATAAAAATATATTTAAAAAAAATATTCCCTTGGAGACCATGGATTCTAGAGCCAGATGGCTCTGTTTCCATCTCCACCCCACCCCCACTTACGAGATGATTTGGGGCATCTTATGTCAGCACTCTGTGCCTCGGTTTCCTCATCTGCATGTGTGGATGATCTTAGTCCTGCTTTAGGCCAGTGGCTCTCAAAGTGGTTTCTGGACCAGCAGCATTGGCATGGCCTGGACGTCTGTTGCACGTGCAGATTCTGAGACGCTCTGCGTGTGGGCCCAGCGATCTGGGTCTTAACAAGCCCTTCAGGAGGTTCTGAGGCTTGCTCATATTTGGAACCATTATCCTAGGCGGTCAGGAGAATGAAACAGATCACACAAATATAAAATCTTTGCAGCAGTGCTTACTCCCAAGCCCAAGCTGTGTAAGGGCTCACTGTCCTTGTTGTTGTTATTATAGAGGAGGGCCAGGGCCCCAGCCCCCTGAGGGGAGGGGTGTGGCTGCACCCTCTCTCCTGGTCTGGTGAGGGTCTAGGTTCCTGGTCTCTGCTGAATGGAGGGCGGCCTTCTTGCCTCTCTCTGTTAAAGATGACACTGAGCCGAACTGCGTCTCCCCATTCCCGGAGAAAGGTTATCGCTTACTTAGTCCGGGAAACGGGAAAGGTCGGGGTGTGCGGGCCATGCCCGCCTCGCCTCTGCTGGAAGAGATAAAGGAGGTCACTTGGTTCCTCCAGAACAGGGTGGGGGGGCTGGGTGTATAAACCGGGGCCCAGGAAGCAGCAGAGGCACTGACCACTGGGAACCTGCCTTGCTGTGCCCACTCTCGCATCCCAGGCCTCCCTGTCCAGCATGGCCAAGCACCCACTGCTGCTGCTGCTGGCCGTGTGGGTGCTGGCCGGGGGGCTGTGGCTGGAAGCTGAAGCCCGGGGAGCACCCTATGGGGTGAAGCTTTGCGGCCGGGAATTCATCCGAGCAGTCATCTTCACCTGCGGAGGCTCCCGATGGAGGCGGTCGGACAACCTGGCCCAGGAAGCAATGGGTGAGGCAGGGAGGTGGTAGAAGGGAGGAAAGGGGGATATGGGACATGGGATGGGCTTAGAGACAGGGACAAAGATGAGACCAGGGGCCAGGGCAGGGGAGTCCCTACTCACAACTTGCAGCTGAGGAGGCTGGCCCATCCTTGAGGCTGAGCCATTTAGGAAAACTCAAAGCTGGGATGGGGGTGGAGCCATCTCCCCTGGCTCAGGGTCCAAGGGCAGAATGCTATTTCTGGGGCACCTGCTATGTGCCCAGCCTGCGCTGAGCAAGGCCGCTGCTTACAGGACTCCAGGGGGCACCATTCGGAAGCCGACACTGAAGTACTTTCCAACCCCTTGGAGAAGGGGGTGTGAGGGCTATGGTGTGTCCAAGGCTAGATTTTGCCACCTAGTGGGTGACGCTCCCAGCAGGTTGCTTTTCCTCTCTGATCCTCTTTATCTGCAAATGGAAGGCAGTCCCTGCATCTCACAAGTTTGCTCAGTGGCAAAATTGAGTCATAACAGGTAAGGACACAGTCCAAGGAAGGCAGGAGGCCCAGTTTGGGCTCAGTCGGGGGGTAGGGGTCCAGGTTCCTGAAGGGCAGGGACCTGGCAGAAAAATAGATGTTGGTCATGATGATGATGATGATAGTGGTGGTGGTGATGATGTAAGTGTGGACCTAGAAGACATGCCCTCTCGGCTCAAACAGCCGCTCTACAGTTCAGTAGCTGTGTGTTCTTGTGCAGTTACTCCACCAAATCGGCCTCAGTGGTGTTCCCTGGGAAATGAGGGCATAATAACAGTACCCACCTCATGGCGTTGTCATTGACAGGAATAAAGCAGTTTATCCACAAAAGCCCTTAAAACAATGTCTGGCACACAGTCAGTCCTCCATGAATGCTCATGGCTATTTTGAGTGCTTATCATGTGCCAGACACAGTTCTAAGTGTTGTGTGTTTTTTTTTTTTAAATATATTTTATTGATTTTTCACAGAGAGGAAGGGAGAGATAGAAAGTTAGAAACATCGATGAGAGAGAAACATCGATCAGCTGCCTCCCACACATCTCCCACTGGGGATGTGCCCGCAACCAAGGCACATGCCCCTGACCGGAATCGAACCCGGGACCCCTCAGTCCGCAGGCCAATGCTCTATCCACTGAGCCAAACCGGCTTCGGCAAAGTGTTATGTTTTTAATGGGTATTAATTAACTCAACCACTCTTTATGAAACACTAAATTCTTTTTTTTTAGTATGTTTTTATTGATTTCAGAGAAGAAGGGAGAGGGAAAGAGAGATAGAAATATCAATGATGATGACAGAGAATCATTAATTGGCTGCCTCCTGTACACCCCTACTGGGGATTGAGCACGAAACCTTGGCATGTGCCCTTGACAGGAATCAAACATGGGATCCTTCAGTCCGCAGGCTGAGGCTCTATCCATTGAGCCAAACTGGCCAGGGCAAAACCCTAAATTCTTAGGAGTTATTATGTTCCTCACTTTGCAGAAAAGGACACTAAGAATCAAAGAAGTAAATTCACTTTCTCAGGATTATAACTTTGAGACACTGGTTTGAAGTTTAATCAGTCTGACTCCCAAACCCATGTTCTTAACCACCAGGTCCTCCGTAAATAAAGAGTAAGGGAAAAGAAATGACAGGAAGGTCAAGCTCAGTGAGGTTGAATATTAAACCTAGGCCTGAGTGGAATCAAAACCTTTAACCAAGAGACCATGTCACAAAATTGGAAAAGCAGCTGGACCAGCCAGGAGCCATGACTC